CTGCGCTGAGCAAGAAGCAGGCACTCTGTACACTGCCCTAAACGAGAGCTCCAATGGAGTCCAATTTTGCATGATCGGAGTTGGGTCGTATTGCAAGTTCCAGCCGAACATGTTTTTAAACGACAGTCACCAAACAATTTCACAGCCTGTTCTAATTTCTCACGTTGCTATTCTTTGGGCAAGGAACAAGTGTGGACTAGCTGGCCCTGTGAACTCTCGTTGAGGGACCTCTAAATAATGCCTCGCAAAGTCTCAGCTTCACGAGGCATTCGTATCATACCATGGACGAGTAATCCGGGTAAATCAAACCACGTCACATCTGGAACTACCAACACATACACGCACACACATATCTTGCATAAGCAGGGGGGGGTTCCCTTAGAAGACTTTACTTTGGTTTGCCCGGAAACGCGCCCACGATAGATCTACTGGAAAGGTACTGCTTCTAACACTGAGAAAAACCGGAAAGTCCTAATTATGCCTTGCAAGTGAATCGCGCTGCCGTCATGGCTGCCACATCATGGCTGCCACATCATGGCTGCTATATCTTGGCTGACAGGGCTCCACACACTTCCCCAAACAACAGCACCAAAAAAAGATTGACCGAACATAGTCCAAAAGTTGATGCTTGAACTGGCTGAGGGAAATGGGGACCCTGGCCTTGATGGGCTGCTCCATCTGTCACCACTTGCGACACTCGGTCAGACACAACGCGGCACAAGGACCGTTCAACCAAACATCATCTTCAGCTGAAGTCCCCACATCACTGCCCTCGTCCTTCTGCCAATTCCCCGGTGCGTTGCGTTGACGTGAGCCAAGGTCAAGCTGAATCTCAAGTGGGATGCAAAAAAAGGCCTGAAGCTCACATGAAGTCAAGCTGCAAAGCAGTTTGCGGCCTGAGCTGAACAAGTGTCTATGTGAAGCAGGCAGATTCTGTGCCTGGTAAACTAAGGTCATGGACTAATCGATTGGGATTGGCGGCCATTCCTGCGAATGTTCCTTGTGTTCCATGGCAGCAATTTCCGCTGATCCACATCACTACGCTTCAGGGCCACCTGAAAGAAGTCGCCGTGGAAAACTGGCAACCAATCGCCGAACCTATCGCGAGCAGTGCAGATTGCAGAGCTAATGTTCTATCAAGTCCTGCCCTCAGAACCCCCAAGGACTATTTGGGACTCGGGCATTCCGCGGATACATGTTGGTAGCATACTGCTATTCGGGCATCTACTGGACATCCATGCTAGCTGGCAGTAGGGATCGTTTCATGGACATCTGCGTTGGAGAAAGTATCTGAGCCGCTTGATCATTCCGGATCCATTGCAGATACCTTACAAGCTTGCAGTATCATGGATAGACGTCCAGACATGTGATCTGCATAAATTTATTTACTTCCCAAACAGAGCAAGGAAACCTGAGTTCGGCCTTCGGCGGAATGCCTCGACTCGGCATTCGGTACTGGTGTAGAAGAAGCTGCAAACTTGGAGACGTATGTCATCCAAGTTTACAGGCTCTTGCAGCTTTCGCACGAGCTCAGCTCCGCGCGTGTCCTTTTGGAAAATGGATGTCAAAAAAGTCGGTCCAACGTGCTCTTGGGCACCCATGCCTAGTAATCTGGGGTAGTAGCCGTTGCAGTCAGCTCCGAATGACCCCCTGCTCCCAACGAATTGGCTGGTGTCAATTTTAGAGGGGGTCGTTCACTTTGGAGCCAACGCACCGTAACTGACTTGTCAGATTTACGAACCCAGGCTCAGCAGCACGAATCGTTTGGAGGCATGTCGTCAGACAGGGGTCACCAAATAGTGTGTGTTCAAAATGAGGCCCTTCCCTTTTGTTAGTCTCAAACCGCTAGCAAACCAAGGAAACACAGTGGCCAGAGCAAGCCGTCTCACAATGCTTTCTGGGCTTGCATCCTCCGGTGCAGCTTGCGAACCTGCTGGCGAAGGGTGGGGGACTTCAAGTAGCTGAAGACGGTGTAGCCTCCGGTGGCAACCAGTTGCTAGAGAGAAAAAAGTGGCTGGTATATTATGCATAGATATACATATATACCTGTGTAGGGTGTGTGATTGGTTGGTCTTTGTTGGCTTTACGGGGTGGGGTGGGTGGGGTGGGTGGGGTGGGTGGGGTGGGTGGGGTGGGTGGGGTGGGTGGGGTGGGTGGGGTGGGTAGTGTGGGTGGGGTGGGTGGGGTGGTGTGGGTGGGGTGGGTGGTGTGGGTGGGGTGGGTGGGGTGGGTGGGGTGCGTGGGGTGCGTGGGGTGGGTGGGGGTGGTTGGGGTGGGTGGGGTGGGTGGGGTGGTGTGGGTGTGGGTGTGGGTAGGTGTCGGGGTGGGTGCGGTTGTTTGGGGGTGGGGATGGGGGTGGGGGGCTGGGTGGATGGATCGTCGAGGGGTGGGTGGAGGTGGGTTGGGTTTCGTTTGGCTTGGCTTGGTTTCCAACCGGAAAACATGGGAAACACAGCTGACTGCCGGGCAGCCCAGAAAGTCTCGCTGCATGGGGTCAGCGCCAAAGCGAATCAGCATCAGCATCATGGAGACGTTCTCAGCTCGCGCGGCCTCCATCAACGGGGAAACCTTCCGGAG